TGCTGATTCGAACAGACCAACTGTGAAGGTCCTTTCTGAGACAAGGAAATCCGAATACAGACAGATAAGACCAAAGTACTGTTAATTTTATTACATGCAGTAGCAGCAGTGTGGTTATGAAAGAAAACATTCTTTTAAAAATAGATCTATACTGGATTATATAGGGGCAAAATGACAGGATACCAGAGATTGGCTTTCAAATACTTCAGAAAGAAGGGAACCTGGGTGGCTCAGTTGGTTAAACGTCCGGCTCCTGATTTCAGCTCAGGTCACGATGTCCCTCGCTGACAGTGCGGAGCCTGCTTGGGATTCTCTCTCTCTCCCTCTCTCTCTCTACCCCTTCCCTGCTTGCACATGTGCAAGCTCTTTCTCTCTCCCTCTTTCTCTCTCAAAATAAATAAATAAACTTTAAAATATAAATTAAAAAATTTAATTCAGGATAGAAGGGGAGAAAAGAGAGCGATGAAGCCAGCCTGGCATAATCTTGCTGACGATTGAAGCTAGATAATGAGTAGATGGGGCTCATTATACTATTTTCTCTCCTTTTGTGTCTGGAAATGTTCATGGATATTTTAAAATAGAGGACTGCAGTACATTATGGTGGATAGGTTAATGAAAACCGGTACAAAAGGCTAAGGCGATACTGAACAAAGGAGAACCAGGAAATAAGTGGGTTAAGTTTTGTGAGTGTTTTCAATGCCATGTCCTAGTGGGGTGGGAAGACTTGCTCACAAATAATTACAACAGAAGTCGGGGAGTAGGAAGTACAGCAAAGGGAGATGCACATACCAGCCCTCCGAGTACAGAGCGCAGCCACCAGGCTTTCCTGCTTTCTTCGGTATTTAATTCACCACATAAACCTCATTCATATAGACGGAGACCAGAATCCTAGCTTGGTTACTCACTAGCCAAGCGATGGGGGGGTCGGGGGGCGGGGGGAGGAGGAGCTCTAACTTGCCCCAGTCTCAGTTTCCTCATCTGTAAAATGGGGACGATCCCAGTATTCCCTTCCCTGGCTCTTTAAACAACAGATACTTTTATCCCTGGCAGGGCTTCTAGGATTAGCAAACCTTCTTGCATCGCTACCCTACCCTTCCGGCCAGAATCAAGGCTCTCCACCAACAAGGCAAGACCTCTACCCTTCAGTAGCAGGCAGTGAAAGGGGCAGGTCAGTGGTTGGGAGACACCCAGATGAGGGTAGGGACCTGGGTGGAGAGAAGACATGCCCCAATTATAGGCAGAGGGAGGGTTACCCAGCTGTTCCTCTGTTCCTTCCAGCTCCTGGGAATGGGCCTCCGATGACCACAGCTAAAACCAACCTTAGTCCATAAGATGCTTTTTACTAAAGTACAACTGGTTGGTATCTGGCTAATCATGATTTGCTTTTAAGGAGAGGGATGAGCAGAAAGCCTGGGATGTCTGGGACTGAAGGAAGGAAGGAGTCAGGGACAAGAGTGAAGTCATTTTTTTTTTAAGAAAGGTATGCTCAAGGGGCGCCTGGGTGGCGCAGTCGGTTAAGCGTCCGACTTCAGCCAGGTCACGATCTCGCGGTCCGTGAGTTCGAGCCCCGCGTCGGGCTCTGGGCTGATGGCTCAGAGCCTGGAGCCTGTTTCCAATTCTGTGTCTCCCTCTCTCTCTGCCCCTCCCCCGTTCATGCTCTGTCTCTCTCTGTCCCAAAAATAAATAAACGTTGAAAAAAAAAATTTTTTTAAATAAAAAAAAGAAAGGTATGCTCAAGCTGAGGAACTCAATCATCTTACAACCATAACCTCAACAACTGCCCCCCAGCTCCGCCCCGGCAAATAAAACAAACAAAACTAGAATCAGATCTGGGGTAGAGGTTATTCCAGGTAATAGCCCTCCTAGACAGTCCCGGGAGCCAACTCTCAGGGGTGAGACCAAGTCAGTGGCAGAGACAGGCTCTCCCCCTTCACCCCCCAGATAACACCCAAACACCAGCCGCTAATCCCTCCCCATCTCAGCCTGACCAACACCAGCCACTCATCCCTGACTGGAGGACAGACTGAGCAAGCTGTCTGCAGGATGAACAACCCGGGTTAAGCAGGGTCAGTTCAAGTGCGTTGCCAAAGCAGGGGCCCCCGAACCTTTGGACAGAATCTTTTCAGAGTCCATGAGGCTCCAATCGGCATACAGTGGAGGCGTGATTCTGTAGCACCTCAGTTTCCACAGCCACAGGGCAGCAGGGAGAGCCCTGCGTTTAGTTCTGGCAGAGCCTGGTTCAAATCCTACCTCAGCCACTTTCTGTGGGACCTTGGGCACTTACCCTACCTGAGACTAAAATGAGGACAGAAAAACAAGAGTTTTTGGAGAGCAACCACACAATCTGCTGCAAAAGTGCCACAGGACAGGACCTGTCAGTAGGCACTTCGTAAATCTGCCTTCTGCCTGAAGGCAACTTCCTACTGCAAAAAGAGTCTTCAGAATATCGGGGGCTTCCCTGGACACTTGAGGCCCCCTTGCTGGGTTTGCCTCCCCGGCCAAGAAGACAAAAACAGAGCTGGCCCAGGTGCCAGAGCCCCCGGGCACATAAACATCAGAGGGCCAGCCGGCTACTGGCTTTCTTCCTGAGGGACCTGCCCAGAAGGGGGCCGGTTAGTGACTTCACCCTTCACTGAAACCACAGAAGACTATCGTGAGAAAGCGGGACTGACAGCCAAAGGGTCCACACACTGCCACCCCAAGCCCCCTAAGGCCTGAGAGGCTTCCAAAGAAAAGCTCTCTTGGCCTTAGGAACCAGGTTACAGAATTAACAATGTGGAAGGAGACACACGTTTACTCTGGTTTCAACACGCCTCTTCCCCATCCAGCAAAGGCGATTCCTTGCTCTGCCGGGAGGGAGGCCGGCCTAGGATAAAGTTAACCCTACCCGCTCCAGTCTGGAAGCCAGGTAAATGGTGGCAGGGACTTCGGGCAAGGCCCCACTTCCCCTCAGAGCCAGTCTGGCAACAGCAAGGCAGGCGCGGCAGATGCCCGGTGGGGTGTTCCCGGACCTGGGTGCGCTTGGGCTGCGCCTGGGCTGCAGGGGGCGGGGGAGGGGGGCAGGGTATGCGGCAGAGAGAGGACAGCGCCACGGCCCCCTGGCCACCTCCACCACCCGCCCCGGACTCAGTCCCAAACCCAGCCCGCAGGAGGCCAGGCAAGCCACTGACATTTGGCCCAACTTAACTTCCTGTTGTTAAGGAGGGAGGAGAACCGGGGCTGGGTAGGGGAGTGCCCAGTGAAGAGCCGGGAAAGAGCGTGAACAGAGCGGAGCCCAAATTATGGGAAAGCAAAGTTTGGGAATGATCTGCCCCGGTGGCATGCGGTACTACTGGCGCGTGGCGCCCACTCTGTGTTGACGTTTGGGGATTTTCTAGGCTTAGAATTACAAGGTTTGGTTGTTGGGGAGGAGTAAGAGGTAGTTCGGGCTAGAGTGGCAAGTTTTAATTGCGTTCTAATCGATTCCGAGACCTATCGGGCAGCCCCGGCCTCCCTGGGGCAGGGCCACCTGCTTGCCGGGCTCCCCGCGGGGTGGGTTTGAGGCAAGAGATGCTGCGGCGCACCTGACTCTCCCCGGCGCGGGCCAGGGCGCAGAGTCCAGGCTCGGCTGCCCACGGTCCCCACCCGCCCACCGTCCCTGGAGCCCGGTTCTCCACCCCACCCCCTTACCGAGATCCACGCCGGCCGCCGAGCCTCGGGTTAGCTTCTGCGTTCGCCTCGAGCCGCGGACGCGGCGCTCAGGACCCGCAGGCGGCCTGCGGAGCTGGGAGCCACCGAGGCAGCCCCGCGCAGGCTTAGCCGGGCTAGCGCCTGCAGTTCTGCTCGGCGCGGCCAACCCGGCTGGTAGCCGCCCCCATCGGCGGCGCGGCCAATGACAGAGCAGCCGGGGGCGCGGCCCGCCCCCGACCCGAGGCCCGCGGCCAATGGCAGTGCGGCGCGGAGCCCACCCCCGCTCCACGCCCGCTCCGCCCCCATGGGGCCAGCTGTCACCGCGTATGCCGCGGGCGCACGTGGGCTGTAGCCTGCCCCCAGAGCGGGGAGCCCCGGGCGCTCCCACCCAGACCAGCGGAGGGCCAATGAAGGCAGGGCGTGATGGTGCTGCTAGATGAAAACCTGGGCGCTAGAACCTTAGTGTGAAGGAAGAGGCTGGGGCTGGGCCTGGCTCCTTGGCTTGGGCAGCTGGAAAGCAAGCCTCAGCTTCCCCTTTTGAAAGTGCGGGAGCAGCATGGCACTTCCTGTAACGGTCGTGGACCTCCCTCCTTGCTTTGCTCCTTGACTACCCTGGGCTTCCGCAAACGCCCTGCTAGCTAATAGGCTCTTCCTTTCACCTGGACTGGCCGTGCTTCGAATACAGCTGGTGGGAAGAGGGAGGGTAGTACAGACCACCTGTGTTACCTTCGTCACAATCACCGAAGCACCCTGTTCTCTTGGCTGTCAGATGACTACCTTAATCTCTGCTCTGGGTTGCCCAGACCCCCTCAGCTCCAGAGGGCACCATCCACAGAAAATACAGTGTGAACAGCGTGGGGCCTAGCGAGGGGTGCAAAGCGACTCCGTAAGCGGTAAATACTACACATAGCTTGTGCAGGACTACTCCAGTATAGCAGGGATCACGAAACAGGGATCCCAGGGGCAGGAGCCATGTCTTGGTCACCTCTGAGACCCAGGGCCTATCACTGGCTTGGCCCCAGGTAGGCAACAATAAAGGTTCTTGGAACTGAGCTGACCCGGGAGAGAACAGGCAAGCTTGGGCAGTGAGAAAACAGTGTTGTGGCTCCAGGCTGCTGGAGTTTCCACAGCACCGGACCACCCTCTAGAGACACCACGTTCCCTTGCCAGGCAAGTACCAACAGAACAGTTGGCCCCCATCAAACCCGGGGTTTATTTTGTTCTCTCTGCTCCTTCCCAGGTGATCCTACTCCAGGCCTTTTGAGTTTTCCCAGGGATTGTCCTACCTGGTAGTTCTCTTGGCATCTTTCGGGTTCAATCAACTTCCTGCAAATAAGCCTCAGCAAAAGCCGCCCCTGCTCCGTGTGTAAAACAGCAGTGGCTCCCAGAGGGGCAGCTCTCCACTCAGAAAGAACTCCCCCTGTGAGGCCAGTTGATGGAGTGTTTTCTGGGCACGTTTTCTCATTGAATCCTGAGTATGGCTCTGTAAGGTACGTATCTTTATTATCCTTCCCTTTAACAGATGTGGAAACTGAGACTCAGGGAGGCAAAGTAACTTGTCAAGGTCACATGGTTAATAGGTAACAGAGTTGGAATTTGAGCCCAGAGCTATCTGATTCCAGAATGTGCATGCCTAACCACAGTGCGCTGGGGCCGCTACAGTCCTGCCCGTGCCTCTGGAGCACTGGACAGGCCACGTCTATCTCTAAAGGAACTGCTCTGGGGCCTGACCTGCCCAAACATTCCATTGAGCTCAGACCTGGGCACTGTCAGGGCAAGAGGTGAGAGCAGCCTGGCCGTGCTTTATTCACACACTGATATAGGAAACCCTAGACAGAGAGGAGCTTCAGGAGACACCCTCACCACAAAGCCTCAGTGGACACAGGGCCTCTTCCTTCTGGCCTGTGTCTGAGACACCCATGTTGGGGATCTAGCTGGAGATAGTCATTCATTCAATTCACAAATGCTATTGGCAGCTGAAGCTGAATGTGTTTCCTGCATTCATGTAACTCATGCTTCATAAGCATAAGTACAAGGTGTTACAGGAACTGTATTCTTTATTACTTTTATGTTTTTTTTATAATTCCAATCACCTTATCTCTAGCACAACGTTCTCCAAGTTAAATTTAACACTACTTCAGGAGCACTTTGGGCCAACCAAGTTTTGCAAGATAGCACTGTTCAGTATAGAAGTTTGATTAGCTCAAAAACTGAAACTTACCAGTGCCTTTCTAGACTCTTCCTCTCTTCTCCCCCACCCTACTCCCACCCAATCTCTTTAACTCTGGGGCTCGGGTAAGAAAGACCCTTGCTAGGTGAGCTTTTAGGGCAAGCTGGGAGCTGATGGGGGCTAACTGCGTGGATGAGGGTAAGCCTCGGGACTTCGCAAGCCAGTGGCCAGGGCCCCCCACCACCACACACAAGCCACCCTTCCTGGCCATCTCCCCAGAGGGTGGATAGAAAAAGAGACAGGAGACAATGCCACCCCCTCTGGACAGAGCAGTAACCATGGCATATCCTGCTGGACTGTGTGTCTGGGAGTTTATACAACTGAGCTCTTCAAAGAGAAGGTCATGCCATGTTAGAGCCGATGGTAGAGGAAATATCAGCTAAGCCCCTCACTTAACAGATTAAAGAAATAGAAAAATAAACGGAGCTGCAGGGAAGGGAAGGTGCTCGTGAGTGTCACGGAGCGTGGGAGTGGGTTCCAGGTCTCTAACGCCCCCGCCTCACTCCTAGCACGCAGGCAAGCTCACACTCCTTGTGCCGTGGCTCAGTATGCTATATTTAATAATAATCTCTTCCTCAGCCCACTCTGTCAGGACGGAGAATGTGTGCTGGTGAAGGTTGTCTGGGAGATACAGATGGCCACATTAGCATCAGAGGGAGGGAGAGAAGGAAGGCCCAGATTCATCCCTAAAAATATCTGCATCTCAGACTGGAAGCGATGGGTTTACCAGCACATACGTGCCTCCCTGGAAAAAACTTCAACTGGTGATCTCCGTCATCATTGGTTATCTACCTGATGGGTTCTGAAAAGGCTCTGGGGGTGTTAGGGCTGGCTTCTTTTTATTTCCAGCCTAGCAATTTGCTTGAAGGTCAGAGTTGAACTAAGTGGATTCCTTTTTTTCCTTTTCAAAGTTTTATTTAAATTCTAGTTAGTTAACATACAGTGCGATATTGTTTTCGAGGGTAGAATTCAGTGATTCATCACTTACATACAATACCCAGTGCTCATCACAAGTGCCCTCCTTAGTACCCATCACCCATCTAGCCCATCCCCCAGCCACCTCCCTCCATCAGCCCTCAGTTTGTTCTCTGTCATTAAGAGTCTCTTGTGGTTTGTTTTCCTCTCTTCTCTTCACCCCCTTCCCATATGATCATCTGTTTTGTTTCTTAAATTCCCCATTACGTGGATTCCTGAAGCAGAGATTTTCTGTGGGGGAGCCAGGGTGCCTCTCACGGCATTTGAATGGCAGGAAAAAGAGATATACCACCTGTGTCTCCCTGTCCAAATGAAAAAGGGTCCAGGACCTCAGACCTCTTCCTCCTGTACTGATGTTCCAGGAAAGCTGGTTCTCATCAGCTTCATCCCCACACTACTACCAAAAGCCTTTGGGCTTTCAGGAGAAACAGGAAGACTGGTATCTATACAAAGTCCAGTGACCTTCTTAAATGATGAGAAAAGGCAGACTGGTCCCAGGCCACCTTAGGAGCTATGTTTGGAGAAGGACTTCCTAAGCCAGGAAGTGGAAACATTTGTGCCTCCCTCAAACAGTGTATGAGAAGCAAGATCACTAGGTCCTTGTTCTAGCCCATTATCTTCCTGATAGGGCTCTGAATGCTCCATTTTCCATAGAGAAAACGTATAAATGTTTTCAAGGTCCGTAGGAACTCATCAGGCCTACCACATTTTCGGTGGGTTTTCCAGAGACAGTTTGGGGGAGAGATGGCACCTGTCAAAATCAGTAATGCCTGTAGCTCTTTGGGGACTGTGTGCATGTTGGCAGCAATGATGGGAAAGTCAGTGCTGGAGAGCTGAGAGCAGGAAGGAGATGAAATCCCAACCAGAGCAAATAGAGACAAAGAGTGGGTGTGCAGAGGGTGAGACATGGGATTATGAAAGTTGTCTATCCCCAGGCCCAGATACCCTGGGGAGTGTATATGCCTGTATGTCTGTGTGCACACGTGCAAGCGCAAAGCCAACTGTGAAATACAAGGACATAAGTCTGGTCCTTAGAGACACAAGAGGTGAAACAATGCTATAAAACCCATTGCATCCTCCAGGCAGGCTGGGCCACACCTGCAGCTCAGGCAGACTCGCGTTCATGCAAACCTGCCACCCATTCTAGAGCACACTGCTGAAATTGCACGGAGCTAGGGAAGCCGCTTCCAAATCCTCCGCAGTGAAGCTGGCAAGGACCAAGGACAGGGATACTTTTCTCTGTTCCAGCTCATGGAGGGGACTCACTCAAGTTTATCTGTCCATCCACCCCTCCACCCACCCATCCATTCATCATATATCCACCCCATAAATATGTACAGTGCAGTTATTCTAAGAGACGTTCTAGCTAAGTAATTAGTAACATAGTCTCTGAAGTCAAGATGCCTGAGTTTGAATCTCAGCTCTGCCATGTGTTAACTGTGTGACCCTGGGCAAGTGACTTAACCTCTCTGTACAGCAGGCTCCTCACCTATAATAGGGGAATAGTAATAGAGAGATGTGTGCATACTACAGTGACTGGTACATAGTAAATTATGTATAAATGTTTTTAAATAAAATAAATGGGGGGTGATATTAATAAGGATGTAGGGAACTAGAGTCTCTAAGAGGCATCATTATTAAGCAACTCCAGATCAGGAACATGGCCACTCCCATCTCTAAACTTGTGTGTTTGAAGAGAGTACAATTATCATCCACACCTTAGAGATGAAAAAATAGAATCTTGCAGAAGTGAAGTCACTCGCTCAAGCTCTCGCAGGAACCAGCATATGGCAGGGTGAATCTGACTGGCTGACGTGTGAGCCTGTGCTCTGTACATATTCCCAGCTACCAGACTGGGCACAGCTCCCAGGCCTGGCCAACACCAGAGCCCCAGTGGTGACTGGTCCAACAGATGTGCCCATGGTCCAACCGGATTTCACCTTCAGGACCAGTGTGTAGATAGAGCTATCTCTTTCCGAAGAAGTCAAGGCTAGCTGTCAGCGTGTTCCCCATGCAGTAGAAGAGACCCAACCACAATAGGAGAGAAAGAGATTCCTGTGATTGCAGAGACCAGAAGTGAGATCCCCAACAACCTTTCTTTGCAATTCTCTTGGTTCTGCCTTCCTCTGAGTTGGCTTTGTCTTCAGTCTGGTTTTCCTCATTGTAGCTACTGCCAATAGCTCTTGTTGCCACCAGCAACCTTATCCAAAAGAGAACATTTCCGGCCCAGCATTCCAAGCAGGAGTCTTGAGACCCACTCTGCCTGGATTGCATCACATGCCCACCTGAACTCTTAGGGTAAGCAGAGGACTGGAATGTGCTGATTGGCTGTGCAGGGCGGGGCCCCTGCCTAGCTCTGGGGGGACTCAGCCTCCCCTGAGACACCAGGCTGCGCGGGAGGGAGGCCGTCGCTTGATTGAAAGCAGAGTACAGTTAGGAAGGGAAGGAGGGACACACAGCCATGTGCTGGGTTGGTACAGATCAGGGCACATATGAACTCGCAGAAGGAATTCGTGCTTTTTGTCTCTCAGAGAGTCATGTCATTCTGACCTCCCCCCGTCCACACTGTACCCCCATCTGCCCCACATACCAACCCCCGTTAAGCTTCTCTCTAAGTGCAGTGCATCCTGTAGTAAATACATTTTAATTAAAATCGAATTCCTGCCCAACTGCTTTTCTGTTAAAATCTTTCCCCTCAGTGCAGTTCAAATGGCATTAGACTGCGCAGTGCAACCTGACCCCTGATGGGTTCAGAACGGCTCGTCCTCCCCTCGTCAGAGGAGTGCAATATGCAGGGGCACTCAGGGTATCACCGTGATGGAGCTGGAGCCCCGGGACAGAAAAGCCTGAGCAAGCCACACAGGTCAAATCCTGGTGGAAAGTGTTCAGGCTCCAACGACCTGTCTGCAACCTCTGCTGTCCATAATGGTGTGACTTCCAGCAAGCCAGTTAATGAAGAGAATAGCCCTTACTCATAAGGGCAGAGTAGGGAGCAAATCCGATGACAAACGTGAAGGCTTATTGTTGACCTCATTAAATGTCAGTTGCTTTCTCCCCTATTTGTGAGTGTGGAGATTTTATTTCATAGCAACTTGCTAAGCTACTATTGGGGTTCCCAGAACACCCTTTCCTGGAGGGTTCCAAGCAGGCACCAGCCCCTAGGGGACTAGGAAGGTGAAAGGGACAGCAGGCTGCGGGCGCGCCGGGAAGGTCCGTGCCGGGCTTCAGGCGCTACTGCCGCGCATGCGTGTTGTTGATGGCTTAGGGGGCAGTAGCTGGGCTCCTAGCAGTAGCTTCCTCCAGCATCCCTGAGTCCAGGGCCCCTGCGCATGCACCAATTTGGCAAAATGCACAAGCTGCTTCTAAGGGTCACTGCATCGTTAAGGTTGTGAGTGGTGAGAAATAAATACAAATCCCAGCTTCTCCTCAAGGGTTCCGGGTTGCCCGGGTTCAAGTTTCCCCTTAATTTCTCCCACTCCCATCCAAATTTTCTTCCCACTTACCAGCTCTGCCAAAGGATACAACTTTGGGCCCACCAGCCGACCCGAGATGCCTGCTTTCCATAGACCATTGTGTTGTGAACTCCAATCCCTATGATCATCCCTTATTCCAGATCCCATGAGTGATCCTGCTTCCCTGATCAATCCCTGGTATGATGGTAAATAAAACTGCCACTTCTTGTAAGCCGACCACAGGCGCATGCATTATTATTCTTCACGACATCCACATAGGACTGTGAGAATTTCTGACAATTACTGACTGAGACTATTGACACTATTTTACACTTTTTATATTAGGGTTCCAGATAAGTGAAACCAATAGGAGATATACAGAGACAGATAGACAAATGGATTCATTATGAGAAATTTGCTCATGTGATTATGGAGACTAAGTAGTCCCACAATGTACCCTTTGCAGGCTGGAGACCCAGGAAAGCCAGTGGTGTAATTCCAATCTGAATCTGAAGGCCTGAGAACCAGCCAGCCGAAGGCAAGAGTCATAGAGAGTCGTGCCTCCTCCAAGGTCAGGAGAAGACCAGTGCTCCAGTTCAGCAGTCAGGCTAAGAAGTGAATTCCCCCTTCTACTGCCCTTTTGTTCTACAGGCTCTCAAGGCATTGGATGAGGTCTGCTGACATTGGGGAGGGCAACAGGCATTCTACCCATTCTTATCCAGAAACACCCCCAAAGACACTCCCTGAAATGATGTGTAATCAAATACCTGGGCCAGCCAAGTTGACACATAAAATTAACCACCACACTTGGCTAAACCCAAACCAAAGAGGTTAAATACTGTGTCCTAGTAACTGGCAGAACTAGAATTCAAACCCTGGTGTATCTCACTCTTGCGCCTGAACTCCTGTCACTCACTGGCTCTGAAACCCGTCAGGAGCATTATCCCATTAATTATCAAAGGCTGCAAATGTGATGTATACTCATTAGGAATAGGAAAGACTCTTAGACTTATCAGTTTAAAATGTTCAAGATGCCAAAGAGGTGACAAGAAAAGATAATGGAACGTACCCCAAAAGGTGTACAAGCATTGCCAAGAGGAAATACATTGGAGGTCCGCTGGTCATCATACAAGTTGCACCTTATGCACACGGGTTTAGGCTGTGTCTCAGCTGAAGGGGTCTGATCGCTCTCTGTACAGCCATGTCTGAAAAGATATCTGACTTCTGGCAGAGAGAAATGCAGTAGTTGGTTCTCTGCACAGTTCACCACTCAACACCCTCCCACTGGCCAACAATCCCTGACAGTCCAACTGGGAGAAAATCAAAGAAGCAATTGAGTGAGGGCTGCTCTGGGTCTGTGCCTGAGAGTCACAGGATCCCAGCACAAAGCAGGGAGGCATGGCCAAAGCGGCCTTCTAAGAATGCCTGAGAGGCCAGCCCTCAAGGTTTTCCATTTCCCTGAGGACTGAGGGAAGCATCTTATGATGAGGCCGTGGCTGTCCCGTGGACCGAACGGAGCAAAGCAAATTTATGTGGCATGCATGGCTCATTAAGGGCAGAATAGGAGGAGAGTGACATGGGAGAGGGGCAGAGGGAGGACTAGGAAAGAGGTGACATAAAACATCACCCCACTGGCTCCAGCCTGTATCTCCCCACTCCTCCCCCAGCCCTTGTGGCCTCAGAGTTTCATACCGCTATTCCCTCCAAAGGGCCCTTCCTCTTGCTTTCCCACCAAGGACCATCACTCCCTTTCAGACTTGTCTAGATCACCACCCTGTGACATCTCCTCATCGCCTTGGTTCATGTTCCTTCCACATCCTGTGAACACTGTGTCCCTGTGACACTCCAGTTCTTTCTCACACACGTGTCACATCTTCAGAGAAGGGCCGTATCTCCTACATCCTTTCCTTCTTTATATTAAAAGTAGGCTTTTTCCTTTTAAAAGAAATGTTCATTTATTTTTGAGAGACAGAGGGCAAGCAGGGGAGGTGCGAGAGAGAGGGGGACAGAGGATCCGAAGCGGGCTCTGGGCTTGAACTCACTAGCTGTGAGATCATGCCCTGAGCCGAACTTGGATGCTTCACTGACTAAGCCACCCAGGTGCCCCAGGCTTTTCCTTTTTTTAATCAAAGCTGTGCTCAATCAAAAAGAGGAATATAAAAAGTAATGTCATCACCCAGAGATTTGGAGAATCAATACCTTGCTGGATATGGACCTATTTCTAGTATCAATATATGCACCTATGAAATTGTGTGGCTATATAGGCAAGATCAGAAAGGGGTTACAAGTTTGAGTTTTGTAGTTGAATCACCCTAAATTGACATCTGTGTGACCTTAGATAATTAATCCCTCTCTGAATCTCAGTTGTCTGGTATATAAAATAGGGACAGCAAAGTTGTTACAAAGTTGTCATGCGGTTGTTGTAAGGATGAAATGATCCACAGAAAGTCCACCAAGCATGATATATAAAATCACCATTTGTGGTGTGCATTTATGTACGTGTTAAAATACCCATAATAAGAAATTCACCATTTCGACCATTTCAAAGTGTGAAACTCGGTGGCATTTAGTAATTTCACAATGTGGAGTCACTATCAGCACTATCTCTTTCCAGAACATTTCTAGCACCCCAAAAGGAAATCCTACACCCCTTAGGCTGGCTCTCCCCGCTCCTCTCTGCCCCAGCCCCTGGCAACCACTAATCTGCTTTCAATCTCTAAGGAAAATCACTTTCTCTTCAACCGTTGTCTCTCCCTCAGATTTTCCCGACAGCTTTCCATTCAAGCCTCTCTCCAAACAAACTAAAGCAAACTTAAAGAAAGGGAAACAAACACAAAACTACAAAGCAAACGCAGAGGAACGATTTGGCTCCTCTCCTTGAGGCCCTAGAAGTCCCATCAGGAACTTTCTGTCCCTGCTGGTTTTGTCTGTCTCCAGGCTCCCTCACCCCAAATGCTGTCGCCTGGCTCTCTCCTGAGGGTGGCGGGGCCTTCTGGTTGTCAAATTCATGTTCTATTTCCAGCCGTCATCCTCGTCATCCGTCATGTTTTTGCACCGCATGACGCCTTGCCCCCTCCCCTTTCTCAAAACCCTCTTTCCTTCCCAGACACCTCTTGTCCTATGTCTCTGGCCACCCAGCCTCAGTCTCTGTGCCTTCTTCCCTTCACCGTCCACAGCTCCCCTCGGGTCATCACATCCGCTGCCCCAGTGCCCACTATCACACGGACACCGGCCACTTCCAACTTCTCCTCCATTCCAGATCCCTGCGTTCATCTGCCCCCAGGACCTCCCAGAAGTCCTCGAGACTTCTCACACTCAACAGATGCGCACTGAATTGTCCAAAACGCACTAAATATTCCTAATCTCACTAACGGTGGTCCCCACTTCCCAAACTAGAATTTTCAGAGTCCTCTGTGGTTCCTCTCTTTTTTTTCTAAATCTTTTTCTTTTCCAAGTGGATAACAAAGCATGTCGGTATAGTTCAGAACCCTCTCTTGGGTCGCCTCCCTCCTATCCCGCCTTGTTGCCACAGTCTTAGTTTGGGTCCCAACATCTCTCAACAACTACAACAACCTCTTGAAAATCCACATGTGTCCTTTCCATAACTGTCAGGATTCCATGTTCCAAAGACAAAAGCAATCAGGTTGTTCTCCTATTTAAGTATCTCCGTCTTCTAGAGTATACAGTTAAACTCCTCACCCTCAGCCCCCAGAATATGCTAGAAGCTATCACAAATCCTCCACTCTCTAGCATGGGTGGGCTTTCAGGTGAAGCTGCTCCCAATTCCTGGCCTCAGGGGTGGGACACATGACCCAGGCTGGGCCAACTGGCAGTCTCCACCTCTCCGGCCCCAGTAATTGGCTCAGGCCCAAGTCAGAGCCAATGAAACACAACTCTGGGCTTTTATTTGAGCTATGGGGAAATCAGACCTCTTCTTTACACTGGACATAAAGGAAGAAGGTACAGAGACTACAATGGCTGCATCTTGTGACCCAGGAGAGCCTCAGATTGGGGCCATCACTGGGCAGAGGAAAACCTCACCCCGGTGACATCTTTTGGGGCCTGGATCAAACCCTACCCATAACCATATACCCTTGGTCTCTTTTGTAAATGTAAGCCAACACATTTCCGCACTCTTTTTTTTCTTAAAATAGTTTGAATTAGGTTTTTTTATTACTTGCAAATTGAAGTTCCAACTCATACCTTTCAAGTCAGTATTTTCCAGATTTTGCTGAACATTAGAATCACCTGGGGGAGCTTTTAAAACTCCCAGGGCCAATTCAATCCTAACATCTCAGGTAGGTGCCAAGCATCAGTCATTTTTAAAGATCTCAGGCGATTTCACTGCATGGTAAAGTCTGGGAATCACTGCTTTAAGCCACGCAGGCTGCTTCCTCTGGGCTCCCCCAGCTCCCCGCCTACCAAGTAACTAGAGTTATTTTCACCCCATATTATTGTCCTCTCTCTTTGGACTTTGAGAATCTTAATGGCAGATTCATGTCTTTATCCCTCTGCCTTGCATATGGTAGACTTCAGTAAGAGTTAAATAATGAACAGATGACCGACTGAATGAATGAATGGGACAAGTCCATGCCATCTTCTGGTGTATTTTTAACTTCAAGGCACCTTGAACTAGATACAAAGTAAGAATGTTCAGGCTCTGGAGCCAGAGAGCCTTTGCCCAAATTCTGGCTTGATATGACTCAGGGCAAATACCCAGCTGCCAATGCCTCCTTTCTTCATCTATAAAATGTAAATACAAATAGCTCTTACATCACAGTGATGTCAGGATTTCATAAGTTATTACATGAAAAATTCTTAGAACATTGCTTGGTACATAGTTACAATAAATGTCAGCTCCTCCCTCCCTTTCTTTCCTTCCTTCTTCTCATCCTTCCTTCCCACTTTCCTTCCTTCCCTCCCTCCCTCCTTCTCTCCCTTCCTCCTTCCATCCCAGATAAATTTTTTAAAATTTTTTTTATGTTTTATTTTACATTTGAGAGAGAGACAGAGACAGAGACAGAGAGTGAGCAGGGGAGGTTCCGAGAGATGGAGACAGAATCTGAAGCAGGCTCCAGGCTCCAAGCTGTTAGCACAGAGCCCGACGCGGCGCTTGAACTCACAACCAGTGAGATCATGACCTGAACCAAAGTTGGACGCTTAACTGACTGAGTCACCCAGGTGCGCCCCTCCCCCACCAGATAAATATTAAGTACAGACTCCTTGGGTTGGCTAAGAAGCGAATGGGTCGTGAGGTGGGGTAGACAGTACATATGGAGGACTCCTTGCAAAATCCCCTGACTAGAAAGGGACACACAGACTAGGAAGAGGCAGACAGAGAGTGGTTTCTGGGATTTTCATTTCTCTGCTGAAAGCCTTAGCATG